GGGGGGGGGGTGTTGTTGTTATTGTTTTGGTTTTTATTTGTTTAGTTGGGGTTTTCTTGTTTGTTTTTTTTGAGACAGAGCCTTAAGCTATCCCCCTGGGTAGAGTGCCGTAGCATCACAGCTCACAGCAACCTCCAACTCCTGGGCTCAAGTGAGTCCACTGTCTCAGCCTCCCAAGTAGCTGGGATCACAGCCACAATGCCTGGCTATTTTTTGGTTGCAGCCATCATTGTTGTTTGGCGGGCCCGGGCTGGATTTGAATCCGCCACCTTAGGTGTATGTGGCTGGCACCTTAGCCACTTGAGCCACAGGCACCGAGCCTTAGTGTATTTTTTTTTAGAGACAGAGTTTTACTTTGTCACCCTCGGTAGAGTGCCGCGGCTCACAGCTCACAGCAATCTCCAGCTCTTGGGCTTAGGTGATTCTCTTGCTTAGGCCTCCCAAGTAGCTGGGACCACAGGTGCCCGCCACAATGCCCGGCTATTTTTTTTGTTGCAAGTTGGCTGGAGCCAGGTTTGAACCCACCATCCTTGGTATATGAGGCTGGCACCCTACTCACTGAGCCATAGGCACTGCCCCTTTATTTTTAAATCTCAAGAACTTATACCTTATACAGACAGAAAGGTATGGACAATACGTTTCTTGCAAATACTCCCTTTTTTTCTTTGTTTTATTTATTTGCAGTTTTTGGCCAGGGCTGGGTTTGAACCTGCCACCTTTGGCATATGGGGCTGGCGCTCTACTCCTTTAAGCCACAGGTGCCGTCCCCTTTTTTTCTTTTTTTGAGACAAGAGTCTCACTGTTGCTCAGGCTAGAGTGCTATGGCATCAACCTAGCTCACAGAAACTTCAAACTCTTAGGTTCAAGAAATCTTCCTGCCTCAGCCTCCTGAGTAGCTGGGACTATAGGTGCCTAGCACAACACCCAGTTAATTTTTTTATCTTTAGCAGAGATGAAGTCTCCCTCTTGCTCAGTTTGGTCTCAAACTCCTGAGCTCAAGGGATCCTCCCACCTTGGTCTCCCAGAGTACTAGGGCTACAGGTGTGAGCCTTTGTGCCCAGACTAAACACGTATTTTTTTTTTGCAGTTTTTGGCTGGGGCTGGGTTTGAACCCACCACCTCCAGCATATGGGGCCAGCGCCCTACTCCTTGAGCTACAGGCGCCACCCAAAACAGGTCTTTTTTAATAAAGGGGCAAGAACAGGAAAAAACAGGGCTATTCTTTGATAAACAGAAGCAAAAGAAAAAAACATGAGACCAGGATGTTTTCTTACTGTCTACCAAGTCTCTTACCAAACACTGTCAAGTTTAAATATAC